TTCATTTATAACTAGAAAACATAATTTTTCTCATTTATGTACTTAATATTATCAATTTGTTCTAGTATTCAACATATAATTGAACGTTATAAAATTGAACCAATTGTCGATAATTATTGTCTAAAACAACAAATAAAACCAGTAATGGTATCGAACAATAATGTGGGTAGCATTTTAGAACATTTTTTATACAAAAATTGACTTTTTTCAACATGAATTGATACTCTTGTTCATTGAAAGAAGAAAAGATCTTAAGCTAATTAAAATATAGCGAAAAAATTTGTTCACTATTTTATCTTACTTTTTAGTGAAATTTTGTTTACTCAAATATAATTTTACATGGGAAAAATGATGCGACTATTCACAATGGTTATATGCTGAAATATGGTATAGTTGATAAATATATTATTTTTATTCTTTATCGTTTATTTTCTATCTTTTTTTTAGTTGCAAAAACAAAGAAATTAAAACAATTTTATTTTATATTAAACGAAATGAAAAACGATTACTTTACTTTGATAGTGACAAGGTAACATAATCACGGAAAAAAGTCTCGCATAAACTATCTTTATTGTTTTTATCTGAGTGACAAAATCGACTCCTTTTTATCATAGAATCAATTATAACTGTATTTTGTTTTTTATTTTAATGAAAACAATTGAATTATTTGTTTAGAAAATAACGCCGGTTGGTTTGATTGATTTGTTCTGTTCCACTCTTTATCCATTACATGAAACAGTATACTCAAGGTAATGAAACAAACGAGTTATCTGATTGTGCAGTTATATATATATACATTTTTTTTTTTTTTGATTATTTACAGGTCCTATGGTTTCCAATTATCAGTTAAAACAAATGATTTGCATACATTACATCAATTCTTTTGTGATTCGAAAGAAACTTACATGGTAGGAATAGCTTTGAACAAAAAACAAAAATCATCATTTTGAATATAATTTATTGCAATGGCTATTACACTGAAGAGACCGAAATACAGTAGTTTATAAATATTTAGAACTCAACTTTTTTTCGATTCGTTTTCCAGCGGAAAACTATTTATAACCGTTTATAAATCAAAAATTTATAAATAAATTGCCCAAACCATTTCGGACTCTTCAGTGAACTATTGCCACCTTCAGAGGTGCCGTCAGTGTCACCTTCTGAAGGTGGCAATAGTTCCTTGTTGACACCGTTGGAGGCGCCAATAGTGCTACCCATAATTTATTATATGTGTGTACTATTGTAAAAGTTGTTTGAATCTATTCTGAATATATCAAGTTATATCTATAACAGAAAATGTTTAAATGTTGTTTTTCTCTACATTCAGTCTTGGTTAAAATCTTTGAGTTGTCTATGTTCATTGGCAACAAGTTGTTTATATCCCACAATGTCATCCTTATCATCATGCTATTATTTATCTCGTTTATCCATACGTATAATTGAATGTCGACCGAAAATTGAAAATGGTGACTGTTTTCTTTGTCTCAACGATATTCTCATAGCAAAAACATCAACAACAAATCCATCACAAACATTTCTGTTTGATAAAATTCCATTAGTAAAACAACAATCTGCAAAACTATCGCTCATTTTTACAACTCAAGTAAGATATCAAGTAGAAATATTAGTTCTCTTCTATTCAAATAGAGATATAAATATATCGAAGATATATTTCTATTAACGTTTATATCACATTTTCTTTTTTCGATAGAAAAAGAAAGCAATAGCATTGAGAATATTTTATTTAATCTCATACACACACAACATCTTCATTTTTGGACTAAATTAAACAATTCTTTTACAATTACATTCTCAAGACTTTTTCTACTCATGAGAAATGACTTTCACAGTGGAATCTTGCAAAGAATTTGATCAAAATCAATAACGCATCTATATGTATGTTAATTGAATGGAAAAAGAAACGTATTAACGTTAATTGAATTCTTTGCAGGGTTCCACTGTAAAAGTCATTTCTAATGAGTAGAAAAAAAGTCTTCGGAATGTGATTGTAAAACTATTATTTCGTTTAGTCCAAAAATGAGGGTATTACGTCCAGAGATGGGCAAGTCACCACTTTTACGAATTTGTGGTACTCTATTTCGCTTTTTGATCAAAATAGGTTATCGACCATGCTGATTCCGAATATGACCATGGGAGTTGCCCAATACCCTTCAAAGATCCGGTCTTCTGAAAAACTAGTTTTTTAGAAACTCTTCAAAATAACCCAAATCTTTCTTAATAATACAGGATTGTAGCCCGCAAATTTCTGATTAACATGAGACATTCCCCAGCTCTACACAACCTTTCTTTGCAAAGTTATTGAATTTATAAAAAGAGCTCTAAATTAATTATTTCTGTAGCTAACAATGAACAATTTAGAACTCTTTTTATAAATTCTATAACTTTGCAAAGAAAGGTTGTGTAGAGCTGGGGAATGTCTCATTTTAATCAGAAATTTGCGGGCTACAATCCTGTATTGTTAAGAAAGATTTGGGTTATTTTGAAGAGTTTCTAAAAAACTAGTTTTCCAGAAGACCGGATCTTTAAAGGGCATTGGGCAGAAACAAAAAGTGATGTAAATGTGAATAGAAAAATACATCTCTATTCGAATGGTACAGATATGTTAATAGTGATAACAATTCTAATAGTATTACTTGAACAGATAGTTTCTTGAAGTTTGCGTGAACAAAATAAGTTTAAAAGTTTTTTTGTCTATTTCTCTACTTTAGTCATCTGATTTAACATTGAAAGAAGAATTATCTCGTTTTAATCTTGATTTACCATCTTCGCCTATCAATCAATTTCTTTCATTTGATCAATGGTATCATTCAACTTCGACATCATTAACTTTTCCATCTACCGATGCCGAATGTTGTTCAAAATTAATTTTATCTAATCCACATCTACCATTATCCAAAATATCCGTTAGACTTCGTCTTCGATATTTAAAACATTTTTACAATCCTTTTATACTTAATTTATATCGGGAATTATTTTTTCAATCATCATTTCTCACAATTCCATCAGTACTTTTAAATAATCTGTCATAATCTCGATATTGAACGAAAAGAATTTGCTCAAACATTTTTAAAATTATTATCTTCACAACATCAACAACCACTCGGCAATTATTTAAAACAATTAGCAAAATATGAAATTGAACAAATAGCAGATAAAGTATGTATATAAAATAATATTTCATACATTAATATATTTAATATTATCCATTTAGATTTGTTTATTTCGATCAAATTCCTTATTTACTCTACTAATCGATACATATCTTCATTCTACTTCATCTCAATATGGACAATTGATTCTACAAGAATCTATTACCATTTTAGAAGAAAATAACTGTCTCCTAAGTGAAAATAAACAATTACTTATGGTTCTTATCAAATTAATGCTATCTAATTTTGATTTATATCTTAATTTTCTCTCTCGACAAATTCGTATTATATTTGCTTATTTATTTACACAAGCAAAAATCAAATATCCACAAGATAAATATTTACCTTATCGAACAATAACAAATTTATTAATTTTAAGATTTTTGGGACCATTATTATTGAATAAACCTCAACAACAACAAGACAATTTACATTCATCACTGATTTATCTAACAAAAATGTTAAATACAACTGCCAGTCTCAATTTTAATACAAATAAAGTAAGTAGAAAACAATGATTTTACCTCGTAGACTATGTCAATTTTCACGATATCTGAACCAGACTGATTTATGATTAATTGTGGAGAGTGAGAGAAACAAAATTTTAACAGAAAGTGTATTTTGTACATTTTTGTAACTTATCCTTCTGTTCGTCGAGTCATATATACTGTCCTGCAAGTCAAAAACGATGAAAGATAAAATATTTACCAATGTTGAGTATTCACAACGATTTTTTCCGAAGTGAGAAGCATGACAATAACGCAGAAATGATTAAAAATAAATATCTTTAGTTTTTTTTTGTCGTCATTTGACAGAGTACGGTACACAAATGTTTAGGTACATTGTCATCATACGGATTTTTTTTGATTGATTGATAGACAGTAACAAAGAAGTACTCTACTGTAGTGCTTTGATAACGTCGCACTCTTTCTTTTGGGCGTTCATTCAAAATGTATGGTTAAAAAGCGAAACTATACAACCTTTTTTAGGTGTTCGTTAGGCGTTGCTATACTCAGCTCGACGAACTCTGTCGATTGGCTAACTCAGATTTTAATTTAGGGATGTTCACGGATGTTTGCGTTTTTTAGTAATACCCACTTTTGTGTGTAGAGTAGGAAAACAGAAAAAAACAACTGTTTGTTCAAAGACATCTTTCATTGCTACTTTCAGGTGTTGAAAAGTACTACGAGCGAACCACTCGAGGCGGTAAATCGCTTTTTGATCGAAATCTAGTGAGTTATAGGTTATCGACCATACTGATTCCGAATATAGACATGGGGATTGCCCATAGCCCTTCTAAGATCCGATGTTCTGGAAAAGCAGTTTTTCAAAAACTCTAAAAGAGTAACTAAAACTTTTCTTAACAAGGTATAATTGTAGCGCGCTACAATAATTTCTGATTAAAATGAGACATCTTCCAGCTCTACATGACCTTTCTTTATAAAGTTATAGAATTTACAAGGAAAGCCCTAAATGTTCATTGTCGGCCGAAACCTACAGAAGTAAGAAGCAAAAAAATTAATTTAGGGCTTTTCTTGTAAATTCTATAACTTTGTAAAGAAAGGTCGTGTAGAGCTGGAAGATGTCTCATTTTAATCCGAAATTTGCACGCTACAATTATACCTTGTTTTGGTTACTCTTTTAGAGTTTCTGAAAAACTGGTTTTCCAGAAGATCGGATCTTCGAAGGGCTATGGGGAATCCCCATGTTCATATTCGGAATCAGTATGGTTGATAACCTATAACTCACTAGATTTCGATCAAAAAGCGATTTACCGTCTCGGGTGGTTCCCTGGTTAGACTACAGTGATCGATCACCAGGCAAAATTGTGTTGATGAGTCGCTAGCTCCACAGTGTGATTAAGTGATTTTGATTTTTAGTAAAACAAAAATTTTATTTTCATTTCTTTTCGTTTGAATTTCTTTTCGGATCATTTTGAGAATAGTAGAACATAATATTAATGGAGATGTAACGTAACAGACATTTTTTGTTTTTATAATTTTAGCCATTGTCACCATCTCAACCACTTGATGCTGAATTAAATATATTTTTATCAGAACAAAAAGATGTTTTAATTCAATTTATTGACAATCTAATTCAAATTGATGATGATCCTAGTGATTTAGATAAAATTGAAGAGAATGATGATTCAGTATATGATTATGTTTATTTTTATCATTTATGTTTACAAAAAAAACAATTTATTTTAACAGACAATGAAAATGATTTACAAGAGAAAGATAAAAGACAATTTGAATCAAATTTAAATCAAATAACAAAAACATTAGACAATAATTAGTAATCATTTTTAACAGAATGACAAATGCTATTTAGTAACATTTTTTTTCTAATACTTTATGTATCGGAATGTCGTATCGTATGAAAACATTTACAATATTCACAGTTATTCATATTTTTTTCAATTAACCTTTTACGTAAAGTATTTTAAGATTTTGTTTTGTGTAATACATGTAGTCATAGTAATCCCCGAAAAACAAAAGACGAAGAGTTCAAAAGTATAGTTTTACATTAAATATTTTAAATGATTGTTTGGTTATGAGAATAATGAACATAGGAAATCTGTGATTACTATTGACACTCAATGTTCTTCGTGGAATGATCCGTTCTAGTCCTTTTCTCTTTTTGTACTATGTTTTTTTTCTTTTGTATATTACTTTTTTGTACAGATATTTACTGTTTTGTTTGTTTGTGTTTGATGTCAGTTATCTATACTCAGCTCAATATTTCTGATTTTTCTCTTTCTTTTTAGTTCTTTGTTTTGTTTTTTGTTGTTGTTATTGAATTAAAATTTACAAATTTTCAAATAATATGAGAAATTTGAACAAATCGTTGCATTTAATGCACTCATTTTTCTATGAATGGTTAATGAAATGTGATAAGTGAATCATGAATTAGAAAACGACGTATTGTCCATCTAAAACAACGATGGTATATGAGTGTTTTTTAAATAACTTTTGACTGGTGAAAGCTAGAAAGCTAGGGTTTTCAAATATGAAAAGAGGAGATCTTGGAGCACCTTTTTACAAACGAAACGTTTTAAGAGAAGTTTTTGGAAAATCGATTTTTCAGAGAATCGTTGAAAAACTTGGGCATAGAGGAAAAGTTTATAATACTAAACTTTTGATTCTTTTTCGTCAGTACAAAGTTTTCATCTATGCACAAGTTTTTCAACGATTCTCTAAAAAATCAATTTTCTAAAAACTTCTCTAAAAACGTTTCGTTTGTAAAAAAAAGGTGCGCCAAGATCTCCTATTTTCGTATTTGAAAACTCTAGCTCTCTAGCTTTCACCAGTCAAAAGTTATTCAAAAAACACTCATATACTATCCTTTTTTTGGATGGATAATATTTTCGAAGTCACTAGCGGCCATGACTCGGATGCAGCAGTAGTTTTGCTGCGACCTATTTATTTCAGTTCGGTTAGCTCTGATAAACTTACAAATAACTTGAAGCATAGGTTTTCGATCTTCTAACAATGTTTGCTTTTAGAAGAAAATCTAACGATCTATTGAAAACCTATACTAGCTAAAATAACCGATTTTTGCCTAGCTTCAATAAAAAAAATTAAAAAATTCATAATCCAATAAAAATCGAACCAAACGGCATCTCTTTTTCATCTTTTATTGAGTGGTGCGGCCAAGGCGTTCAAACACGAATTCGCAGATGGCACTTTCTCGTGCGAATTGTACTTTGGTGCAATTAACCGGTACGTCGAGCACTGTGTAAACATACCAAACCTGCGAAGTGTGTCGAGAAGCGAATTGCATTCAGAAACTGTTGAACGTTTTTTTATGTCTCAACAGTTTGCATTTCCGAAGTGATCGCGAATTGTACATTGTTGAAAGCATGCTCACTAATGTGCAGACACGAATTCGACAAAATTGTCTGACTTTTTTAAACGTCAATTCAACAATGGTGGCAATATGCTGTTTTCCACATTGTTAGTGCCAAAGTTACAACAACAACGTGCAAGATCGAATTCGTTAAACTATTCAAATTCTTCAACAAACTAAAAAAAATTGAATTGTCAATTCGGAGCTATATAACAATGTGCATTTTTGAATCCGTGACTGTCGAAAACGAATTTCGCAAGCGCCTAGATCTGATCGTATATGAATATCGAAAATTTTTTCGATCCAGGTGTTCAAATCTGCAAACTCCTATCATCCTCCACATCGCAGTTAATTCGTAGAGAAATTGTGAGAGTTCGGAGGAGAATAGCTGCAATAAATATCTAAACTCAGTAAAGGTTTCCCTACGGCTCAAAATTGCGTGCACTTTGCACATTGCAGTTAATCTGTATTAACTTGTTGAAATTCATCCATGAGTGCGTATAATAAATAACGGAAGTCGCGACCGGCTTCCTTCCTACTCTAAAAATCGGCACATTGCTTGCATTTTGCACATTGCAATCAGTTCGTATACAAATTCTGAGAATTAGGAGGAGAATAGCCATGATAAATATCTGAGGTCGGAAAAGATTTGTCTCTGAAAATACTTGCACATTGCACATTGCAGTTAATTCGTATTAAATTGTGCGAATTCGTAGATGAGTACGTATGATAAATAGCGAAAACGAAGTCAGGTTCACTACCGCTCATGTTAAAGATAAAAACGAATTCGCAGTTTGCACAGACGAATTGAATGCAATGTGCAAAGTGCACGTAATCTGCAGATTTTTTGACCTAGAGGAAAGATCTTTTCCCTTTTGATCTACTTTAACAGCAACGAAGTTGCAAATTCTCAGATTTTGCATACGAATTGTTTGCGAAGTGCAAAGAGCAAGCAGTTTGCAGATTTTTCGCCATAGGGATGAAAGATTTTTAAATTTTGATAGTCAGCATAGCTCTAATCTGGTATAATAATTTGATTAACACACTTTCTGGGAATTCATGCGTCCACAGCGAAGTGCATTTGCGAATTAGCTGACTCCTTAACCAGTTGTGTTTTCGAATTCGTAAAACGCTGAGAATTTTCAGCAGTATCTAATATTGCAATTCCTGCTATTCGTCCACGCTCAGCAAGGTGTATTTTACGAATTGTCTAATTCTATCATACATTTCGCATTTGCGAATCCTTCGAACATGAAAATTAGTGAGTACTATAAAACTTGGATCTAGCAATATGCATTTGCGAAATTCGTAAAATGCCCTTAACAGTCTGCATTTACGAACTGAACGAATTAAACGAAGTGAAGTATTTCATTTTTATGGTATAAAAATTTCAAATCAACAGTTTGCACAGTGCAAAGTTCATTTCGCTTCTGAACGCCGTGGCCGCACAATTGCTTTTATTTCCGAGTTATTCCAAGAACATCCGAATCCATTCTATTCTGAAATGGACAGTAGATACTTCTTCAGAAATTGCTTTATTCTGATAAGGATGAATACCTCTAAAAATACAGTACTGGAAAAAATTATAGAACCACTGTATTTTTGAAATTTTTCGATAAAGTCGAGTGGCTAGATCAAATCGGAATAGTGATTTGGATGACCCTTGAAGTTCTCTATCAAATGTAGTATGCCTCAAACTTTCATAAAAAAGGTTTTGAAGGAAGTTTTCTAGAAAATCCCTCGCAGCGGAGCTCTAAATCCTAGAGAATTTTGCTAAAAATATTTTCAATATCGCCATCTAAAAGAGCATAACATTCTGAAAAAACTGAAGCATCGCACAGCTCTCCACGATTTTTCGTTGCAAAGTTATAGACAACAGAAAAGTCAAAGAAATGGTTTAATTTACGAAAAAACCTAAAACAAACAAGCAGAAGCACATTTCTCTGGATTTTCTGATGCTTGTAACTTTGCAACGAAAGATCGTGGAGAGCTGTGCGATACTTCAGTTTTTTCAGAGTTTTATGCTCTTTTAGATGGCGATATTGAAAATATTTTTAGCAAAATTCTCTAGGATTTAGAGCTCCGCTGCGAGGGATTTTCTAGAAAACTTTCTTCAAAACCTTTTTTCTGAAAGTTTGAGGCATACTACATTTGATAGAGAACTTCAAGGGTCATCCAAATCACTATTCCGATTTGATCTAGCCACTCGACTTTATCGAAAAATTTCAAGAATACAGTGGCTCTATAATTTTTTCCAGTCCCGTATTGTTATTGATCCGTATTTATTTAAAATATGCATTTATTTTCTTCACAATCTGGCAATTAGCCACCTAATAAAAAAATCTCAACATTTTCTTAATGTAATAATTTAACATCATTCATATGAAAGTTCATGTTCATCAATTCTCGAATGATCAATAACTGTCATTTATTTATTTACAATTGTGTTGTTTCTTCCCCACTTAATATTGCATTTTGAATACAATTATTTTCACATAATTTTGTAGTAATAACAATTTTATTATCAATTGTAGCTGAAATAGTTGAAACAATGGGTGATAAAATGTTATGATTACATAACGGACAACATTGATGATTTAATAACCATGGATCAACACAGTCCGAATGATATAAATGATTACATTCTATATAGAAAAAAGAAAACATATTGAAAATAAAAAAATCATTTTGTTTTTTTTTCAAACAAATTTTTTATTTAACTTACTCAATTTTCTTATAATATCACCACTTTTTATATTATTTAAACAAATGGCACACATTTCATCTTCATTTAATTGTTGTGTATTTTGAATAGTAATTAATTCATCATCATTTAATATTTTTCTAACTCTATTTTTTAATTGTTTTTCTATACGTTCTTCTCGTTTTATTTGACGACGTTGTCGAAAACAGTGACCAATACATGTCAGAATAATACAACCCAAAATACAACTACCCATAATGATATAAATTTTTGTAAAAATATTATAAGTAATTTTAATAAATTCAATTGTCACATTAAATCGTATTTTTTCTATATTAGAGACCAATGAAGATAAATCGTCAATAAATGTGTTCGCATAAATAGTTAACATAGTTGAAAAATCAATTGATGAATAATTATGTAATGGAAAAGGGTCTTTTTTTGTATTAAATATGATCATAGCTAAAATTTAAAAAGACTATTTTAATTTATATAAAAATGTTTATAAGAAAAATGTTATACCTCTTGCATTATGATATTTTAAATTTTTTAATATAATCGAATAAAAACAGTTGTTACGTCGATGAAGTACAAATGCAATCCACGATTTATTATGGGATAGTGAACTAATATTCACAAATATTTGTGAATGAAAATCACAAATATTTTTATTGACAAATATGAAAACAGGACCATGAAATGATTTTTGATAATTTGATGATGATAAGAGGACACCATTCATTTTTAAATTGATACCTTTCGAATATGTTGAATCGGAAACTAATTTCATTTGAAATGATGATAAACTAAAAACTATTGGAATTGTTAACAACAAAGTCAAAATGGTAGATATAGTAATATGTTTTTGCATCATTCTCTTACTATCGTCAATTATAGTGAAATGATATAAGAGTTTTATTGAACATCAAATCTCTAGACTTGTTTTTCTCCTCCTGATGTCAATATTATTTCTTTTTTTTTTTTCTTTATGAACAAATAAAATTAGTTTACTTTTTATCACGTTTATCGAGAAAAACAATGACAGTTAAATAAAATTTTGCTTAATCGAGGTAATATGATTAATGTTATGTCAAAAGAATAGTGAAGAAAGTAATAATACACCGTTTTAATTTAATAAAATCATTTACTAATGACAGAAAATAAAAGTGAACTTGACCCAAATGTTACTCTCTAAAAAATAAAGCGTCTTCTAAAAAACGCAAAATGACTCAAATATCCTTTTAATTTTTAAATTTTCAAAAGATTTCAATGAAAACTTTCGAATATTGAAAAAAAAAATCTTTTTCAAAACTCTTTCCATAGTAAAGTACTCAAAGTCCGTAAACATTTTTAGAGAGTACAAAAAAATCTTTTTCAGTTTCAGAAAAAACACTTTTTCTCTGCTTTTGCATCAATAAAATGAGATTTTTTAGTTAAGCCTTTTGTTCATTTTCTAGAGATCCAACAACCTCAAAACTCTTAAACAGGCATGCATCAGTTAAAAACCGGTTTTTTTATCCTCTTTTCACAAAAACTAAATTGTATGAAGAGTATGACACAGCTGAGTTTTGTAGAGCAAACATTTCTCTACAAAACGAACTATAGGAGCAATCTTCATCTCGATCCAGCACTTATGAAAAAGATATTTAATAAAAGCTTCATTCAACAGTTTCGGTTATGTAACCTAAACCGATAAATGGGACTCTTCGTCTAAAGGTGATTGCAAAGAAACGAGAAAAGATGGAAAGAATCTCCATATCTCATTTTATGGAGAAATGTTTGCTCTACAAAACTCACTTGTGAGAAAAATTTAATATGCTATACTCTTCATAGAATTTATGTCCAAAAAAAGCTAAAAACATTGGTTTTTAACCGATTCATTCCTACTCTTAAACCTTCTTTTGAATTTTCTAGAGATTCTTGATTTTCTAAACAACTAAGATTTAAGTGAAAAATCGACTCCCATCCGTCTACGTGGAATTCTTCGCATTTTCAATTAAAAAAACAGAAAGTCTCTCTACGATGAATGGTTATGGGAAAATGTGCGGTACATCGAGCATGCCTGCACAAAAAATGTGTTCGGAGAGAAAACGCCATCCATCAGTTGGTTGATCCTAGGAGTTGTAAGAAAATGCTTATAACTTTCGTAATCCGCGTATTGAGATATTTGGTCTGTCTGAGATATTTGAGATATTTGCTCAGTATGCGTAATCAGCGTATTGAGATATTTGGTCTGTCTCAGATATTTGAGATATTTGTAAGTAGCCCACACTTCGGGTACTGATACAGGCGATTAAGTCTATACCGTCGACACTGCGATAGTGTTAGACCTCGGTTGTTTTTTATCCTTTTTAAGTAGCCCACACTTCGGGTACTGATACAGGCGATTACGTCTGTACCGTCACTGTGGTAGTGTTAGATCTTGGGTTTTTTTTTTTTGTATTACCTATTACTTTGGGTTTGCAGTTCGCATGCATCCACCACACGTAACACTTTTTATTTTTGTGCTTGCGCAACAGATTGCGCAGTAAGTTCCTTCCGCGTCTTGATATATCCGTACACGATTTTTCTTGATTGTCTTTTGTTATACTGATTGCACTATGATAGTGTATCGTTTGGCTATTTGAAAGACATATTTAAGCGTTAGATCTTGTATCGAATGACGCACATTTTTTTTGTACAACCTACGTCCACTTTTCGCTGAACCTTCCATATTCATCATCTTTACTGATGTTCTCAACGTTTCTTCATTCCCAGCCTAATTTTGGTGTTTCATAGTTCCTATCTTTCATTGGCACAACCCCTGTTTATTGTAGAGTCGTTCATCAAAATAAGTACACTCTCATCTCCCTCTCATCACCACTTAATTATTGGTGATAGTTTGTTACGCCATGTTCGGGCCACTGATTTCCTCTTGCTTTTTGTATCGTTCACCTTAAACCATTACCCGGAAAATGGGCAACTAGCAAGGTTGATCCATGTTACCAGGGACCTTGCCGAATTGTCAAAAGACTCGGTCCTGCAACGTCTCAAATCCAACGTCTATCTGATGGTGTGCTTTTGGGCACGACTACTGTTGATCGTCTTAAACCCTACTGGATACCTCAGGTTTCCTCACCGCCCGTTACTACATGTCGTCCTAATACTTGACCACCTCGATGTCGCACACCCATTCCTCCTCATACTTGTTTAAGTGTCTCGCGTCCAAGCACGCGTGTTTCCAAATCTAACACTTGCTATTTATCGTAACTGGTCCCTTCCATCGAGTTTTTTTTAATTTTTTTAATTTTTTTAATTTTTTTATTCGTCTTATTTGTATCATTTTTCCAACCATATACGCTAGTTAACCACTCTACGGTGTTCCATTCTCCACGTTCCCTTCTCATAGTTAACCGCTTTCTTTTCTGTGGTATCTCATTCTTTGTCCCACGTCAAGGCCACTGCTCCTCTGTATTATATGTTCTCCTACAATACACGAAACTCACTTAATCATTGTCGAAACTGTTTATTTCTTCCATTTTTCCTTTACAACACCATGGCACTTCTCATCAATCATTCATTCCCTTATCATTCACGTTCACATATACTGACCGGTCACATGTACTCTCATTAATCATTCTCAAACTTTTTTATCTCTTCTATCTTCATCAGGTTCCATCTTTCTATTTTTCCTTTACACAGCAATGACACTTCTCATCAATCATTCATTCCCTTATCATCACGTTCACATACACTGGTCAGACACACGTAATTTAACATTACACTTCTGACTCTTCCCGTCTCATTTTTCAAGGTTATTCACTTTCTTCAAGGTCATACCAGTTTCTTTTTTCTCTCTCTTTCTCTACTCATCCACTGTGTACCCGATCATTTCTCACTTTCGTTCACTAATCGTCTTCCATCTTTCTATCGCTCGCTACTCAATATCTTCTACGTTATTTTACAAACACTTCATCTTACATCATGCCATCTTCACCTTCATCCACGTCATCAGTGCCCGTATCCACTTTCACATCTCCACCAGCCGTTTCCGACGACGAACTTCTATTTACTGTTTCGTTTCTCGCTACCATCACCGCACACCTCGCTCAATCTGTTCTGCACCTACACCAAGGTGTTACAGACACATACATAGCACCATCGTTTTCCCCGCAACCGTCTTCTTCATCACCCATTCAACGTTCACGCGATATTCTCCTCGACCTCACCGCCAATTGTATGACGGTTCACCATCGCACCTCTATCTTCTTCATCTTCATACCACATCGCACACTCCACCTAAACCCTCGCGTCTCCGCCGTCACTCCACCTCACCGATCATCGTGCACTACGTCCGAAATCATCTCGCTCGATTAAAACATCAACCCCATGATTCCGCGTATGTTTTTATTTTTTGTTTTTGTTTTGTTTTTTTATTTTTTGTTTGTTTGTTTTGTTGTTGTTTTTCCCGCGTATACCGTCGGATTTTTACGATTAATTTTTTCGTCTGAGTTTTTCCGGTCTCCTTTTTTTTGTCTTCGTCATGTCTTCGATTTTCTTTTGGTATTCGTCCTTCTCCTCCTTTTCTATATTGCGTTTTAATCTTGCACTGTAGCTGCTTTCCTTTTAATTCTCTTTTTTTTGTGTGTTTTTTTACTCCGCAGTATCCGCGTGAGGGCACTCGGATCTCGGCGGGGGGGTATGTGACGATTCTTTGTCACAACCTCTCTATTCAGTACGTACTTCTTTCGGTTTCGGGCTACTCTCTTTTGTTCCGTTCTGTTCCTGGTCTGTTTTTGTTCTCTCCTCGCTTTGTTCGTTTGTTGTTCTTATCTTTTGTACATGCAGTAGTAAATATATATATATGTATTTTTCTTTTGTTAGAGTTTAGTTTTTTGTAGTTTGTGATGAAGAGTAGTCGAATAAAAGAGTAATACTACGTATCTTAACGCACGCATACAATCAACTCAAGGACTTATAACTAAAGGAAATAGAAGTTCCTCACACACCCAACTTAATTACTATTAAAATAGAAGAAAAACTAAAATAAGTCCAATAAATAGTTAAAAACAAGAAAAACGAAAAAACACTCTGAACAAAAAACTATATAATTAACCTATAGTATTTTCTATCATTTAAAATCAAAAACAACAACATTAGAAATAACAAATTCATTAATCAACCAAACATGAAAAGCATATTAAACTGAACAATGACAACAACATATATACTGTTCACTCAAAATTAATGCTATGAAGTGGCAATTCATGTACTCAAGGCTCCATTGATAAAACTAAAATTCGCAACAATCTTGCTAAAATTGTTAAATAATTGTTTTTAATTTTTTTCTTTTCTTTTGTGAAATCTGATGAATTCTATTTTATGATGGTTGTTTTATTTATGGTAATTATGGTAATTTTCTTTTCGTTTTATTTATAAGTTTCTGATTGTTGTTGCTTTGTTTAAGTTGAAATTCGTCTTTTTTACAAT